ACCTAAGAGCGATGGCCTCCAACCTAAGAGCGATGGCCTCCAACCTACAAATACTTACTCAGTACTCAACCTCAAGAATCCTCAAACGACCACTGGCTGGGCGAAAATGGGCCACACTGGCTGCCACACGCGTCTCCCAGACCTCGAAATGTGTGGGCCTTTCTAAGCTCTTGAGGTCCAATGCAGGAGGCCTTTGCTGGAGCCCTCCGAAATGGCTATGACACACTGCTGGCGGAAGCCCATGCGAAATTGTCAGATGGAGACAGGCAGCGCTGGGTGCAGCACTGGGTACACTGGTGGAAAGCATGGGAAGCACGTGAACACATACACGCTGACATTGGTTTTCAGTTATATAACTCAATTCCCAGGTCGAAAATGGCGATGGAACAGAAAGGTGGCAGAGTCCGCAGAAGAGTATTGTTTAACAAAGGTTTGTGCACATCTGCAGCTCGCAAGAACGGCGGTGTCGAACGTCAGCGCGGCACAGCAGCAAGGAAAGGTTTGGGGGTGGTAGCATGAAGAACCATGGAGTCAAAACAGAGCAAATTAGACAGCTTGGTCAAAGCAGGCGAATCGCCGGTTCCCACGGGACCGACCCGGAAATTTACGACGAGAAAGAAGAGCCGACCCGTTAATCTTTGGAATGTTCGTGTTTTGTCAAGCGCGACTTGCAAAACATCTGATGTGTCATCAGCTACTGCTTACAACTTATTACAGGTTTTTGAGCCTCTGTGGGTGCCAATCGTGCGTCCACAGCAGCGTCCATTGGTGTTTCGGGGGGGGTGCTTGGGATGCAACATCAACACCGTCATACTTACGGTGCTTGGGGCACCGTTCAGCATCACACAAGTGAAAGCGCAGCCGTAAAGATACAGAACATCCCAGGTCTTTGAAAGGGGAAAGGTTGTCATTCGGCACTGACACGCCTGTCACGCCTCTGGCTTTGGAAGATGGCATCGAACCCACGGAAGGGCCATGAAGACTTAAGTCGGCAGAATATCATGTCATCCAAGAGGTGTAGGGCAGTGTAGGGTCCCTGAAATCAAATTCTGAACGCGCATCCCAAGCCTAGAATTTGGAAAATTCTGTCCGTTCGGGAGCCTTTTCAAAGACTGCGCTTGCAGATTGCGGGTGTTGTCAGGATGCACACCACAGATTCTGACCTTGCAGCCAAAATTAACAGTTTCTTTGGCGGTTGGACATGCCGTCCATACTTGGTATATTTGGTCCCAGCATATCCCATGATTTTCCATCAGGGAAATGGGAACGGGAGTCAACAAGAGGGCGCTTGTCTTTCTGTGTTCTGTGAAGTTGAGGGTTTCTGTCCAGGCAGAAAGTGAGTCGACTTTGCATCTTCGACGCTCGCATGGAGTTCCTGGCATTCCTGTCAAGGGATGAGGATTCCATGGAGAAGTTCGACACTCGCTGGAAGCAAATGCAGCTCCTGCAGTGCGCGGCAAAGAGTTTGATTCAAGCTGGTCCTGGCGCAGCTGGTGCGGCTGGCGCTAGCAGTGGAGCAAAGGGCCCTGAAATTGTTGAGAAGAGCACATCGCTTTGGGCATGGCAAACAGTGCCACGATGTTTGGAAGTCGCTGTCCTATGTAGTTTTGCCTTCCCCGTCTTTGTGGGAGCCATGGTCGAACTGAACCTGGCCGAGGGCTGCTTCTCTATGGATCCAACAAGTGCAGGCAGGGAGCTCTTGCAGATGCTGTGCAGCCACACGCTGTGTTCCATGCTCGGACCACTCTCATGCCCGTAGATTGAAGTACTGACTGCTTGGCGGATTTGTGCAGGTTCCTTGCTGCACCGGGTGTTGCCCGAAGAAGTCGAGATGCACCAGCGCACCGCGACCATAGGAGGTCAGCGCGACCAAGTCGGTTGGATGTTTGATGTGTTTCTGGAATTTTATGTTTTTTTTCTTTTTTCGGTTGGATGAACGATGCAGCGAAGTGTGCTGCGAAGGTGTTCTGGACTCTTTGGCGAAGCAACTCTGCGGAGCAATGGGCCTGCAATACCACAGTGCGAAGCGGCCAGCTTGCAATGAGTGCAACGAAGGAACAAAAAGTGCTACGATTTCCCGAGTTCTGGTTTGTTTCAGCTAGACTATCTGAGACATTCTGAGACTTGTTACTGGTAGCGATGCCCTTCTTACTAGTAGCTTCGTGTTACTACTATATAGTAGTGCACTTGTTACTAGTAGCTGCCAAAAGTCCAAGTCTCAAGTTCTCGCTCATTTGCTCGACATTGTTTAGGACTGTTAGCTACTAGTAGCAATGCCCCTGGTCTTTTTCTGCATCCCTTGTTCCTTTGCATGCAAGGCCAAGAGTAGTGGTGGAAGCGAAGCCCAACTCGTCCGACTGAAGGGGCAGAAGCGGGTGGCGGGCCCCTGAACACCGGGGTGCTTGACCATCCATGTGAGCCCAGAAAAAGGAGAAGATCTAAACATCGGCATGGTTTCTCGACACAAATCGATTAATTCTTTTCTTTGATTTGTGAATCTGCGACTTGTGTGGGCAAGAGACGAGCTCTTTTTTCTCAGCAATTTCATGACCAAGTGTGAGGCATGTGGCAGTGTCTTTGCATTGCCCAAGGGTAACTCGAAGGCGGACCTGTGTGCTTCGGTTGTTCCACGAATGAATTGCCTGGACTGCCAGTGGAAGCCTGACTCCACCACAATGCTTGATGGCTAGAAGTTCTGGCTCGAGCCAGAAATAACCGTGGCTAGCACCTGTAGCCATGGAGTGCGAGGCCAGTATGGAGTTTCTTGGATGAATTCGGCTCCTACATCAACCCGTAGGATACTTGCACGATTCTCTTCCACTTCCATGGCAGACCATGGAGAAAGATCCAAGCAATCCTATTTCTTTACCCAAGGTAGATAGCAGAGGATCAACAAGATACGGAAATGGACAAGTGTACATTTTCCATATGACTCCGTAGCTTCAGTAGCTAGTACTTACTCCCTTACTTAATTAAGTAGGCGCCTACTTAATTATGTAGGAGGGGGGCTCAAAAGCAGTGTTCAAAGTTTTCCTCCGAACTGGACTGATCTCCTAGGCAGGAGATCGCGGACGCACTCCAATTTGGTGCGAAATCCATTGGTATGTTGGGAAGCATTGCCGTGCTCCTGAACAACATCCTCGGGTCGCACGCGCTTTTTCTTTTCGGTCCGATTGCTTCTCTCCGTGCGAAATCCATAGTTTTGTAGGTCAAAAAGCGCCATGCCATGCAGCGATCTTTCTTCAAAGTCAGACGTTTTGATCGTTTGGACCCTGGCAATGGCAGGCCCGGCATTGCCAACTTCTCGGGCCTTTATCAGCAAACAGGCTGGTTGCCACCCAGCTTTACCATCCTGATTTGCGTGATCTCTAGCATGGTCAGTGGAGTGACATGGCAGCACGTAGAATCGTCGAATTTTTCCATGAATCAATATGAATCACAGAATTCTCGCCAGAAAGCAAGATTAGACGCGCCTTTGAGGATATGCTTTTGGCAGCAATGAGAGCGTATCCTGAAAATTCAGAATTTGGGGTGAGAGTTGAATACGGAACCCTTTGTCGTCACTACTTCAGCCGCAAGACCGCCCTTTTGTTCCAGTGTGTCTCGACCGCGGTGGTTGCTCTTGTGGGGCAAGCGCAGATGGATTCTCAGAAGACCTGAAGCTCCTGAAGTGATTCACAGTGATCCATAGAAGCTGAGGCCTATTCCAGCTTGCAATGCTTTGTGCGAACATCAGCAACATTATTCAAACTGCCCAGGCGAGGCCCAGTCCTGGCTACGTCATTTTCAGCTTCTTGTTCCTAGTAGTAAGAATGCTCCTAGTAGTAAGGCCAGGAGCCCCTAGTGGCGTCCTTGCTCCTAGTAGCGATGCCCTTGCTCCTGAGGTCCTGGACTATTTTGTGGCAGATCTCAACCACGGCAAGTCATGTGCAGTGATGTTCTATCCCAACGTTGAAGCGTTTTGCCACACCTCCTCGACAGATGTTACTCCGTTTGGAACTGACAAGATTGTGCTTTCGCTGGGAATGGGCATTGTGGCCCTACTCAGCATACCACTGGGCTACTACAATCTGGAGGATAACGTTGTTGTTCAGAATGTCGCCATGGTGGTGATCTTGCTCTCGACCTTTGCTTGGTTCAGTATTTTTGCCTCATTGGGTCTGGACAGGGAGCGAGTGCCTCTCATAGGCAGCTCTTTGCACAACATGGGTGGTACCATTCTATTCAATTTTATGTGCTCCGGATGCATGTTGAGGGCGGGAAGGGGAAGCTGAACAATACTGGACTTTTGATCCATAAGCCGGGATACTTGGGGCCAAGACACAACAGCCGCTCAGCTTGACGTTGAGGTTCATTTCTACCATTCCATCCTGGGTGTGTGAGAAAAAGCCGACTGTGCCTTGGTTTGGAAGTGAAGTGCACTAGGCAAAGTGTTACGACACCCGCACACATTGTAATGGATTGTAATTTGTTTCCAGGGATTGTCACTTTTGGTTTGTGAGGTACGCCCTTTGATGGTCATTGGCATCACGTTGCTCATGGCAGTCCTCGGAAACAAGACTGCCTTAGTGTGCCATGTGGCCAACTGATTTGCCATCCATACAGGCTTTAAACAATAAACAATCAGTGCAGCATGCACTAGGTAACATCGCTTCAAAATCTAAGTCGGCCAGTTCTTTCCTGCAAGTTGTGCACCTCTGCTTCAAGAGGGAAAGAACTGAGCCTCAAAAGAAAATTAGGTACAGAAGAATCGGATATAACGGAGGGAGTAACGCTGGATTATCAGACGGCTACACTTGGTGGGTTCCCGTACTTGGCTTCCAACACCATCTCAGGATACATGCTGGTGGGCATCCTTGGGGGTATGGCCTTCAAGCCTTACTACATGACTGACAACACCCTGCTATCTGAGCTCAACCATATCTCTGCAGAGGCGGTGCGGTTCAGTGGAGTCTGGGGTCTTGCAGATTTCCCGTGGTTCACATGGGTCGTCACAGGTCCCGGAATTCATCCACTTAGACATGGAAGAACAAGGAGCGATGGCCTCTACCCTAGTAGCGATGGCTTCCACCCTAGGAGCGGGCTTAAAAGAAGAGCTCACTTAGCCATGGAAGAACAAACACTTGAAGTTCCTGATTCGTCCAGGAGGCGAGCTCTGTTGTGCGGATCACCGCATCTTGTTTGCACTTGTTGCAGTGATGCCTCCCACAAACACTGCCACAATCTCGAGGCTTTGGTCAGCGTGCAAGCATATGCCATCTCTGCCAACTTAGCATCCATTCCGCGGCTTGGTGCTATGTCATGTGGTCGAGATATCTGGTGTCTAGGGGCTGCTTTGCTTACTGCCTCCTTGCTGCCCAAGGATCTTTTCGATTCTCATGCGATACAACCTGATCGAGAGCCACGTGTGCGGCCCCAAGGCTGGCTTTTGAGACACGTCTGACTGACGAGCTCGTCTGATCATGAGAGCGAGCTCGTCTTTTTTCTTCTCCTCCCACTGGAAGACAAAGGGGCTTTCAGCATTCTCCCAACCTTTTGACCGAAACTCTAAGATCGTAGGTGGTACAACATCGCTTTATAGGTCGCTCAATCCAAGTCACTAGGCTTAGCCGTCTTCAGAAACTCCCAAAAGTGCCAGAGAAAGTACGAAAAGAGGAGCTATATAGCGCTTGGTCTTTTGGCCTCAAATAACTTGCTAGTATTCTGTGGTAAAACCACCGGTGGTTTTGTTCTCGCGTTTGTGGATCGTCGGGGCCGTGGCTGTGAGGCTGCAGGGGCGGTCTCTGTGCTTCTGCCCTTTGGTGTCTCCGTGCTTCTTTACACCGGTGAAGGTGAGCGGGAAAGAGATCAGAGGGAAAGGATGAGGTCGAGGGAGAGGGAGAGTCAGAGTGTGAAAGCATGGTTTTCGAACGAACGCTTTCACAGCCAGGTCGAACGCAGACTCAATCGAACGCAGAGAGACCCTGAGTATCGCTGGATCTTTTTTCCCTGATTTGATGCTTTAAAGCGGTGAGGCTTCAAGGACATCGTTGACTTCTCGGGGACATTCACCTCAGCTCTCGTCAACTTGATGGTTCCAAGCCTCCTTTTCCTTGCTGCGTGCCTTGGCACCTGGTAGTTTCTGAGGGACCTCATGCCAAAGGATCATGAATCACGAGCTAATCATACAATGAAGAGCTTTCAGGAGTTTTCAGCTTTGTCATTTTTTGGTACTTGAGGCTGCACCGGGACGACATCAATGTACGTGACTCGGCAGCATCAGTAGCAGTGACAGTAGCAGTAGCAGGCGGCGTAGGAGTAGGATTGTTGTAGTACTTGTTGTAGCTGCAGTATGTAGACACAATAAGTAGTCATAGTAGCGTCCGATCGCTCCGTTCGTAGCGTCGCCGTGGAACGCCGTTGACGGCCGGAAGAAGCTGAGTGTAGCACACTCCCGAGAACGCACATGGAGAACTAACAGGCTTTTTAAGGCTCTTTTCTTTGATAAATCAGTGGCGTTCAGGGTCCATGTGAGTTTTCGGCTAATCCAGCACGAACCTCGGGAGAATTCTGACCTCGAAAGCCTCGAGAGCTGAAGAACTGCTGTGAGGTACAAATGTGGTTGAAGAGCTGAGCGTGCCTTGAAAGGAACATAGAGCGGCTTGAGCCACTGCTGTGTGATGTTAAGCACAGTAGTATACGATTCCCGAGCTTCTTACATCTTGTTACACGGAAGTTTGCACGCTTGTGGCCATAAATCATACATCATCATGGATCATCATAGATCAATATGATGAGAATTCGTTTTTCTCTTTTTTTCCTCTTGGACCGCGTCATGCCATCCAAGAGCTACCAGCCGAGGCGCGCAGCGCTAGACTTCGCGCGCGAAGTGCAGCTTGGTCAGCCAGCAGTTGCGTCGCTTCGAACGATGGGCCCAGTGGGCTGCGAAAGCTTTGGCGGATCATTGCCTGGGTATCTGGGCGGCCTTGAGGCAGATGCATGAGCAATGTTAATGTTCGCTACTAGTAGCTCCTGGCCTTACTGCTAGGAGCAAGGACGCTACTAGAAACAAAGGGCATCGCCAGGAGCAAGGAAGGCTACTAGTATCCACAACACGAGTTTGCATCCACTGTGATCCATTTGCGTCATCACTTCGAAGCCAACAGCATCACCGCCCCAATTCACTTGCCCCGAAACTGAGGTCAATCTTCTTGTGATGGTCGCATTGACAACGGTGTCGATTGTCGACCAATTCCTTTAATCTGATATTTTTTGCTTGTTAGTGCTTCTCTCACCGTGGACCATGGAGCTCTGAACCACTTGGGGTCGGAGAATACTTACACCACAGGTTCGTGAGCGCCCAAGCTGCGCGAAGGTGCAGCTTGAGCGGAAACTGTGAATTGGTGCAGCGGAAGCTCCTCCCAAAAAGACCCGCGCTGTCTGCCAGTTTGCTGACTTCCAGCAGCTTTGTGTCAAGGAATCGTTTGAGAAGATGTGTAGATATGAAGGGTGTCACAAGCCTGTGGCAGGAAGAAGCATGGGGCACCAGCCACTGGGGTGTTGGAGCCTTTGGGAAAAACATGGTGGGACAACAATGGAGAGGGTACACAGAGTACACGTTCCTTTTTGTGAAACACTGACATGCTTGCAAGGGCCCAAGGTGCACGGCAGTTCTGTCCATGTTTCTTGGGCTGTTTGTGCTTGGTTAAAGACAAGGGTTGTTGGCGCTTGGCATTCGAATGCAGTGTGCGTGTGCATGCTTCGCCCTTTGCGACACAGTGCCGCGTTTTTAAACCCTTTGCGTGCGCAACTTTTCTCTACAGGCTGCATTGAAGGAGACAGCAGCCTGCGATATGGTGTGCTTAGAAAGTGCTTTGTAACCTTTGAGACTACTTCTGGGAAATAGAGAGAGAGAGAGAGAGCTTCCGGAAAAGGAGCGTACTTCGGTTGAAGGATTGAAGGATTTGTCCATGAGATATAGAATCTTTGTAAAACCAACTGGGAGTCCATGAGCAAACTGTGGGCGGCAAAGATCCTGGAGATTTGGTCAGGGTAGTGACTGGGCAGGGCTGTGCAAGTTCAACATAACGACTTCAAAGGGGGTGTCGAGGCCAAATTGCCACGTGAACCCGGTAGAACATGCACTTGCCTGTGAGAAGGGAAAAGTGCATCACTAAAGTGCCCTCAAGTGGGCCTAAGCAGTGTCATGCAATGTCACTGAACAAACCAGATGCCACCATGCCCAGGGTTGCCAAGGCGAGGTTATTTCGTATTATGTTAGGTTGGAGGCCATCACCACTAGGTTGGAGGCCATCGCTGGTGGGGTGGAGGCCATCGCTCTTAGGTTATTGCATAATTTTGGTGCGTATTTATCCGTCCTCGTCAAATTTTGTTGTTTGACCTTTTGAGCGTTTAGGTCTGCGGAGCTGATTCAGATTTGATTTGTTCACATCAACATTGATCTGAAGACCAATGCTTTGTATCCCCCCATCATGTCCACTGGCTGGCGCTACAGGCTAGCCAGCCAGTGGCCAGTGCGGGGGTTTCCCTCCCTGATGCGTTTAACATTGGTATGGGACCGATTTAGTTTGTTGTGACGCGGTTGAGCTGGGCACTTTTCATTGTGCACATTCGTCTTAGATTCCGCGTGTGTTTCTTTTCGCCTTCCGTGCTGGACGTGCATATGAGGAGCATGTTGGCAGTATTCACACATATTAGGCTGAAGGATGTGCTGCGCTCATGTGTCAACACAACCAACATATTGACATCACGTTCAAGGTCATTTTCCAGTTGGGCTCCGGCATCGCGTATGCCATGAAGTCGGAACCCTGGGTGTGTGTGTGTGTGTGTGTGTGTGTTCCCAGTTTTGTGTTGCATTGACTGCGCTGTCCAAGCACAGGTTCACTGCTATCAAACTGTTGCTGTGCAGCAACAATGAGTTGGAGTCCCAGAACAGTTCTCAGTGCAAGTAATATGTTCAACCTGACTTGGGCATGGGTCGCGCTGCTACTGCATGCTACTGCCCCTCCAAAACCTGCAGGTCTGCCAACAGTGCCCACCGGCCGCCGTCAAAAGCACAAGTTGTCTTCCTTTGCAATCCAGCCATGAGCTTAGCGCGGGCAATCTGGTGAGGCTCGAGGCTTGTGCGCCGACAGTTCACCGACAACGCGATCGTGGAAGGCAACATTCCGCGATCTGTTCAACCGCACATGTTCCAAATGTCGGGGACACACCTTCAGAAGCTGTTGGTGTGCACGACGCCGAAGATCTCTTCGTGGCACTCGTGTAGAGTTTGGCAGGAACAGTCGGTGCCCCATCACCTTTTGTTGTCTGAGCGTGGCAACCCGCACGATATTCATGTCCCTCCTTGCAAATCCCAAGGGTGCATCGGTCGGCGAATGACTTGAGGAGAGATTTTGCCAAAACCCAGCTCAACAAATTTCCCAGAGACCAACATCAGCACCGTTTCATATCCATTCAGTGGCTTTAAGACAAAATCGGTGCTCCTGACGCGGTTCTTTGACTTTTTTCTGTGTTGCACGCTTTGAGGTGACAATTGGGTCATACAGAGTTATAAAATATATATGTTTTAGTTCTTGTGACCTGCTTGTGGCTGTGCCATGCACTTCACACCAATCAGATCGAACATCGACGCGAATCGCGACGATGCCACGGAGTCGATGCACGCGCCACATCTGCGTCTCCACCCCCCTCCAGGTCCCAGGGCCCCTCCAGGTCCCAGGGTGGGGCCCTGGGATAGGAGGGCCCATTGAAGGGTGAGTTCGAATTCAAGAAATGGTGGGTCAGTGAAAGGAACCACCATTTTTGAATTTTCTTGAAGTTGCTCGCCTGAGGTGATAGGCCTAATGAGCAGCCTTTGGCTCGTTTATTGCTGTGCTATGCTTATTGAGAGAACGCTACTAGGAGCAATGGGCATCGCTACTTACTAGGGGCTCCTGGCCTGACTACTAGGAGCAATGGGCATCGCTACTAGAGGCTCCTGGCCTTACTACTAGGAACGATCGGATGCTACGAACATAGCTTTCTCAACCGAATTGCCAGGCCTGGCGTTGGTGCCTCTGGGCGGTGATTGGACAGTGCCCGAGTTTAGTCTTGCTTTGGCTGTGACGGGCTTAATAGGCGGAGAAATGGGGGTCGTTCGTGAAACGCAAGACAACAGACTGTTGCACACAAACTGCCAAATTATTGCTTGGAAAACCATGTTATTTCTGCGTTTTTTGGTATGTTCTTGTAGCTCAGGGAAAGTCAATGCTTCTTTAATGACCAGGTGGCTGCGGCGGCCACCCCTATCCTTGTGTTTGGCGCTTGGTTCACGTGCTGTTTTTGCAGCCTTCAGCTGGCCTGGCTTGAAAGTCCAGGCTGCAGATGCAACTCATCCAGTTGCTCAAGTCGCCTGTCACAGCCGAACACTGAGCACGGTGCTTCTGATATCAAGAAGAGAATCTCCACAGGGGGAATCGGCCGAAACAAGGGCTACATAGGAAAAGGTCCAAAGGTCTAAACCATAAAACATACAGCCATAAAGAATATATGTGGCAATCACTAATCATAGTTTCGACCATATGTTGCCATACACCATGTGTTTCTGCTATTTGGCAATCACGAATCATAGTGGCGAGCCGGTCGGGCGTTCGACTTGGGCAACGCTTCGGTACAGTGCTTTGCATTGTCTCGTTGTTCACTTGCTTGGGTTCATTCTGGTGCTCAGCAGAACAATTGTTTTGGCATCGTCCCTGTGGGCTGCCTCCATTCTATTTGGGTTTTCTGGTATTCTTTTCCTTTCCCTTGGCACTCAAGATTTGAGAACTGATGGCGTATTGAAAAGAGCGAAAACAACTTGTCAATAATTAGCTAGCATAGCTATCTTGAGCCTTGCTGTCGCGAATGTTCTAGGTGGCTGTGCTGGCAGTTTTCCACGATCTTGCGATTGCACAATGCTCAGTTGTTCCCCATCACCCGGCCGTTGCTATTTAGGCTGGAGGCCATCGCTAGTAGGTTGGAGGCCGTCACCCTCGAAAGTGTGCTTCTTCTGTCCGTGTCCATGCCAGACTTCTAGGAGCTCCTGTTTCCACCCGGATCCTTTTCATCTCCTCTGGCCATGTCGGTCATGTGCCTCAG